TCACACACCTACACACCATCACACACACAAATGTCACACACACCTACACACCAACCGTCACACACACACAAACCATCCTCACACCACACACACCAACTGTAACACACAATCCACACACATGCACCAAGTACCACAAATACCGTCACATCAACTGTCACACACACACACCGTTACACACACGGCAGCTGTCACACATGTACCAGTGGTCACACATGCACCATCACGTACACACCAGCTCTCACACACACCCCAACTACCACACGTGTGGCAGCCGTCACACACCCACTGTCACACGTACCACCTGTCACACACACGCGCAGCCCGCCCCGCCAGCGCCTGCTCCGGTGAGCGGCTCCCGCGACCACCGCGCCTGTGCCGCCCTCTGCGCCGCCGCCTTCGCTCCTCGAGGCCGGGGTCCCCTGCGCGGCCGGCACTTCCGCCACGGGGCTCCCTCGGGCGCCCGCTCCTTCTTTCCTCAACGCGCGCCCACGGCTGTCCTTCATGCGGGAAGCGGCCCCGGGCCCTGAGGCCGGGCGCGGACGCGGTCAGCAGCGGAGCGGGTTCTGTCGCGGGTCTGCGTCTTCATCCACAGCAGGGGTGCAGGGCGCCCCGCTGAGCTGCGTCCCCAGCTCTCTTTTTAAATCTCCAGGCAGGGTCTTGCTAGGGCACAAAGATGCCCAGGCTGGCCTCAAACTTGAGAACCTCCTGCCTCAGCCTCCCAGAGTGCTGGGATTTTTACACACAGGCAGGGAAGGCCCATGGCTGGAATGTGAGGGCTCAGAAAAGGATTTTTCTGCACTGTGGTGGCCAGAAAGCCACGTGGAAATGTCAGCCGGCCTCCGCACAACGTGCGGAACGCGGTCGCGGGGCGTTTTCTGCATTTTTGCTGGTTTCCTTTGTTGCTCTTGGGCCACCTTTTCGTAAACACGGTTGTGCCATCTGCTGGCCAAAATAAATCAGAGCCCGGCAGCTACTGTCGTCCCGGCCGGCAGGAACTCGGCGGGGCGCGAGGTGTGGGGCCTGCCTGCGTTCTGGGGGGCCTTCCCGGCCCCTCCCGCTGCCCGCCTCCCCGAGCAGCCGCTGCGTGAGGGGCGCCCTGCGCCCCACGGGTCGGGACCCCTTTCCAGACACTCAGCGTCCCGGAGTCTGGGTGCGGGGAGGAGAAACCCGCGCGGATGGACGCGGCGCCCCAAAGCACCGGCGGGTCCTCACCGCGCTGCCCGCCCGCCCAAGCCCGGGGGGCTCTATGGGTTCCCGCAGGACTGTCGCTGTCCCCCGCCTCCGCTCCTTGCTCTGCACGATGACCTCCCCTGACCCCCTCGTAACCGCTCCAGCCGCCTTCCCGTCCCGCACGGCTCTGCACCCAGCTGGCTGCTGGACACAGCGGGGCCGAGACCACCGGGCCGGGCAGCCCGACGCCCCTCCCGCCGTGCCCCGGACGAGGACCCCGCACGAGGCGTGAGCGCCCCGGAACCGTCCGTGTGCCCGCGCCCCACTTCAGCATCGCGGGGGCCCCGCGCGTGGGCACGCACGGCCCCGGTGTACAAACAGCTGATGTGGGCCGGGCGTGGTGGCGCATGCCTGTAATTTCAGCACTCGAGAGGCTGAGGCAGGAGGATTGTTGTGAGTTCGAGACCAGCCTTGGCTACAAAGGGAGCTCAAGGCGAGCCTGAACTGCACAGCGAGACCCTGCCTCAAAAAGAAAAAAAAAAGAAAAAAA